CTCTGTAACATACAGGGTCGCCATGAGTCAGAATCGACTCCACAGCAATGGGTTTGCGTTTTCTTTCAGGGTTTCTGTAGCAAAAAGGATTCTGGTCTAGCTTAGACCAATTACTGCTGCTGGGGATGGCATATTGTGACTAACTCAGTCTAAGATCACATGCAGTAGTGGAGTTCCTCAAATAAGAGGGGATATTGTTACCTAAAGTGGGATAGGAAAATGGGCTGGACTCAAAACTGACCTTGATTCTTTCAACGTTGAAATAAAGGTTTTTGATATACTTTCTGATCTGTCAGGAGCTTCAATGCTATTGAGGGGTCTTCAGGCCTGCGGCCTTTTGCTCGACAATCCCGAGCTTTGTGCTTATTGGCCTGAGTGGGCTGCACTGACATATTTGCCTGACTTCTTCAGTTCTTTCTTAAGCTTTTGAAATAAACATGCTCTTCTTTGGGATTTATCTTGGGAACCAACATGATGCCATAGAAAGAGAATAGTCTGAAGTGATAAAGCCTCAGATCCTTACTCTGGCATTTACTAGCCTTGTGACCTTCGACAAGTTACTTAAGCTCTCTGAACATTAATTCCATCATCTGTAAAATGGAGGTATCCCTTCCTTACAAGATTGTTGTGAAAAACAAAGAAAATGCTCTAAAAGCACAGTGACTCCTAGCGTGCAGAAAAAGAGCTTTAAGAATTCAAAGGAGAAAGAAACCACTTCAACCTCAAGGCAATCTCTTCTGGGTGTTGAAGCATTTGAGTTGGGGGTTGGACATTCCTAGAGAGGGGAAATGAGAAGAGGAGAGGCTGGAGATAGATAATTGGGGATCATTGTAGAGTTGAGTTGAAGCCATAAGATGGTAACAGCAGGTTCCTATTATGTGCCAGGAACTTATACACTCAAACTAGCGTTGCCATTTAAGAGATTGAAGCACCAATTACTATGGCAGAAAAATAGCTCTACAGCCCAATCTTTAACAAATTGAAAAAAGCTCAATATAGGATATTTAGGGTGTCCTGACAAATACAGGATACAAGATAAAATCATTAAACAAAGGACATGTCCTGTATGTGCAGGCCATCTTGCAACTCTACCTCCATCTCTCACAATAAGCTTAACAAAGTAGGTATTTATTATCGCCATTGTTCAATCGAGGGAATAGACGCAGAGACTTGCTCAAGACCACAGACAGAAATGGCAGAACTGAGAACCAAATTCTCTCTCGCTCTGAAGCCTGGGACCTACATTATACCACACACTCAACAATGACCACTACGAATAGCTGACCTTAAGTCAATTTCTCCATCTGCATCTTAATGCTTCCTCTACAAGCCTGTTAAGTTGGAAGGAGAGACACTTTCAGCATTTGAAAGAAGTGGAGCTATTATACCTTTTTTCTCCTTGACATCCACACCTATGACTCCTAATGCATTTCTTCTGAAGCTTTTAAGGGGTCTTCAAAGCCTATTTACAATGTGGCATGGAACTGAAAAATGTCTACTCTTACATCCAAATTTTTTGCTACTTTACTCCCTTCCCCAGACTAAAAAAGTTATAATCCTTTATCATTCCTTCCGTTATTCCTGGTTAGTCATTCACTTTATCCATTCTGCCCCAAACCTGTTTAAACAATGCCAACTACTCGCATCACTTAGTGACACACACGCACAAATCACATCTTTTTGCTCTGTCCATGATTGTATGATTCTGTGGTACCTCATTGACTTGTCTAAATATGGCAATTGTTTGAACAAGGATGGTACTAAAGTTGACCTATTAGTTTGCTAAAGTAACTAGTGTAAAAAAGTTTGTTCTATCCAATAAAGAGCTCTTTATTGCATTATTTTAACCTATTATTCTAAGTCCCCAAAAGACCTTTTTTTAAAATATTTTGTTTCCATTAATCTAGCTTCCCTGCCCCCCTCCTTACCTTCTCCTTTGCTTTAGGCCAAATGTTGACCATCTGGGCTCATAGACGATTTTTTAAAGGAGCACAGTACTCATGGGTGATATTTTATGAGTCAATCTGTTATTGAGCTGAAGGGTGACCTTTGGGAGTGGTTTCAGTACAAAGTTTAAAGGGTATCTTAGGGCAATAGTCTTGGGGGTTTCTCTAGTATTTACTGTTCCAGTTAGTCTGGCCTTTTAAAAATTTGAGTTTTCTAACGAGGTACAGGAGTCCAGTGACAAGGGCCAGAAAGTAGAAGGGGACAAGGAAGCTGGTGATAGGGAACCCAAGGTTGAGTAAGGATATTGTTGATGTGTTGTGAGATTGCTAACCATTGTCATAGGGCAACATTTGTAGTAACTGTTAAATGAGAAACTATTTTGTTCTGTAAGCCTTCATCTTAAGTGAGAATAACAGCACAATTGGAAGAGCGTAGTCAGTGTCACTGAACTGTGCATGTAGAAATTTTTGAAATGGTGTTATCTTTGGCTATGTGTATTTCCACCAAAAAAAAAAAGAGGGTTGATATGTTGTGGGGTTGTTAACCAATGTTATAAAACAACATGTGTACTTCTGTTTCATGAGAAACTATTTGTTCTGTAAGCCTTCACCTGAAATAAAAAAAAAAAAAAAAGGTAAAAAAAAAAAAATAGAGTTTTGTTCTACATTTTTCTCCCATTCTTTCTGAGACCATCTGTTGTGTCCCTGACCAGAACAGTCAGTCCAAAAGACCTTTCATTAGGCCATTTTATTAACAATTCTAAAAATACTGTAATCCTTTCAAAATATTTTATTCACATACGCCATATCAACATATAAATTAGTAAGGTTTTATTGTACATTATATAGTAACTTCTCTGCACCATTATTGCCTCTGTATTTTAATTTCAAAAATAGCGGTGAAAAATCCTCTTGTAGAGATTAAGGACAATGTTAAGATTTCCTCTAGAGCACAGTGTTATGCTCAACTATATGAAAATCTTATATTGGTGATGAAATATAGATCCTTCTCCTCCACTGAAAAGAGTGCAGACTGAAAAATAGAACAAATATATTGCATTTCCAAGGCTTGATAAATAACCTAAGAAACTGAAGTACAGGAGTTTTAAGACCATTAAAACTAGGCAGAGGTCCTAACGTTAAAACTCATCACCAACCAGTGATAACTGGCTACATTAGAATCACATGGTGGAGTTTTTGAAAAACAGATTCCTGGGGTTCATTTCCTAATTTTCAAAATCATTTGTTCAGGGTGAGGCAACAGTTAGCCCCCAGGTGTTTCTAGTGTACAAAAGATTAAGAACCATGGCCCTAAAGACAACTCCCATTTAAAAATTAATCAGAAGCACCATAGCACAAATAATATACATGAGACCCCAATTCAGTAGCCTTTTCATCTAGTCACTGAATTGATATACTTCACACAAATACTACACAAATATTTGGAGCAGGATGAAAAGGTTACTCATTATAGCAATTGATAACCACATCAGTTCTAAATCGATGCATTATTGACTCTGTTTTCAAACAATTCTGACTCCACGCATCAAGAGCAGTTAGGTTGCATACTGCTTCTGTACCACATTCACAAGACTGCAAACATTTGTAATACACATGGATGTATATATTACTGAAACAAAAGTTATCTTGAAGTCAAGATACTGTATTTAACTATATAGGATGCACTGCTATTTTCTACCTTTTTTTTTTTTTTTTGGTGAATGCTGGTCCTGAACCACTAAAGGATTACAATCTACAATTTGAAAAGCAGATCTAGTTCAACAATTCACTTGAGCTGTGGAAACACAAGTCTGTAGGTACTGATTTGCCGAAAGACACAAAATCAGAAGTAGTGATTGCCATGCCATTGCCACCAGCCTCTCAAATCTTTTTTGTGACCGTTTATTTACCAAATTCCCACCACAATTAACAGAAATCTTAACAGCCCTCCACAATCTAACCCCAAACTACTTCATTGACCATCCAGGCTTTGCATTTTCTTATTGAAGACTGGCTTCCATCAAATACCCTAGAACAAGACAGCCCAAACCTCACATTTTATATACCCATGGCCAAGAGACTAATCCACACTTTCTTCTACAGAGTGCAAAGTCCGAGAGAAAGGATTTGATTAACACAAATCAGGTAGATCATCCATACCTATCTAATCAATTGGGTCTAAGAATCAACACAAGAATGCCCATTCTAGCCACATGTAACCAGAAAGAAAAATTGAGGGGATACTGATACAGATGTGTACACACCAATAAACCATTTTAATAGACATTTCTCAACTATAGCAGATAATTTAAAGTAGGCCTGCTTATAGGTAAGAATCACAATGAGCAGCATTATAAAACAATTCCTGAAGGTAGCGGTTTTAGCTAACACTTGTACCTTAGAATCTTTTTAAGAGGCTGCTAATAAACACTATGCCAAAATCTGCAAATAGTTTTTTAAGTCAGACTTTTAAAAGCCAAGATAAGCAACTCGTACATATAGTTATTACCTCTGACCAAGGCATGAGAATTCACTTAACAGCTTTTTTAACCTAACTAAAAATAGGATAGTTCATAAATTTTCAAAATTGTTCCTCCCTGCTGTAGACAGCCCTTGACCTTTGACAGTAAAACTTAGCAAAACTTTGGCATCCCTTTAGTTTTATAGTTCACTGAAAATGCCTACAAATTTAGCATCATTTCCCATGTCTGGATAGTTTTCTCATTCTGAATGCTTAAAACTAAATGGTCACAAATGGAAATGCCAGTAGAAATAAATTCTTTAGGCAGGTTGTATAGTTACCACATGGAAAGAAACTGACATGAAAATTTAAACACTCAGAGCATAAAAATACTTTAGAGTATTATAAAATTTGAACTTGTGAACACATTCTCCTAAATTTTACTAGTTCCAACTTGCAAAACTCCTGGAAAATAGGACTGCTGTAAGGATTGAGATGATTTAAGCCAACTCAGATTTGTCTTGATTCCTGGCATCAATACTAGATTTATAATTTTATTGTAGTAACAAACAGTTGTTATAGTGATATCTACACACATATACAGATTATATTTAAATTCATATAGAACAATATTTACATTTTTAAGTTACACTTTTGAAATTAGAAGATGAAGTACAGCTTGAGTTTTACAACAAAGAAAAGTATACAAGACAAAAATAGAGTTAACAGTAAAAGTGTGACTGCCTGTTCTTGATACAACACATGGAAACTTTTTGTCAGAAAGCTACATCTTCTTAATCTGATTATCCAGATCATTAAAGTATGGATGATTCAGTGCCATTTTGCCAGAAATTCGTTTGGCAGGATCATAGACTAACATTTTCTAGGGAAATAAAAAAAGAGAAAAAGAAATGAACTTTTTATTTATCTAGGAAATGAACCAGTTAAAAACATCTCATAAACTCTTACTACCAATAACCAATAAACTAGTAATATAGTGAAAATCTAACTAAACGGACATTTCCATTAGTTCAACACTAAACCATGTTTTATCCTTCATATTTCACCCTCAAGCTCTAGAATAATCTACTCTTTAAATCAGAGATACCTCAATAACCTCTTTTGTTATAAATTATGGTAAGACAAAAGCATTCACAGATAGCTTTAAAATCAAGATACAGATTTAGGAAAAAAAGATATGTAGTTAATTATATTTACTTTGAGAGTTAAACAGCCATCTGAGTTATTTACAACATTCTTGAAATGATGGCAGTTAACTATAGTGGTCTCTGATGTAGCTGCTAGCAAGTTCCAAATAAAAAAAGCCCAGAGTCTAATGTTTTATAAACACAGCAAAAAATGAGTCACTAAATGAATTATGGTTAGAGAAACCTAGTATTAAAGTTAATTTTACACATCACAAAGAAAAGCTAAATAAAGTTTACTAATGATTTTTAAAGTCTGACAAGCAGACGAGATACTTTTACTAACAAGTTACCATTTGAGCTTTACATATATCATATAATTTAATTCTCACAACAAAAGGTAGATATTAGTCCCATTTTACAAAGGAGGATACTGAGGTTCAAGCTTTGGTAACCTGACCCAATTCACAGAGCTGGGGAGTGGTGAAACTAAAATTTAAAAAAATTTACAGTAGTGGTTCTCAATTGAAGATGTTTTTACCCCTCAGGGGGACACTGGGGACATGCTGATATCTACCGGGCAGAGGCCCGGGATGCTGCTAAATATCCTACAATACACAGAACAACAAGTTTTCTGGCCAAAAGTCAATACTGACTAGGTTGAGAAACTCTGATTTACAGTACCTGATTTTTATTTAATTAATTAAAGTGAAAGTCTTATTTTCAAGAATTATAGAGGTTACAAAGGCAGATTGGGCCCAGAATATGGAAGAGCCTTTGAATCAAATCAACAATATTGATAATCTAAAACAAACTTCCTTAAGCAAGCCTAGGACAATCATTTTTATTCTACCAGTTTTTTGTTTTGTTTTTAAAGAAAGCAAATGTTAGTTGGGAAGGGCAATGTAAGAGAGGGTAAAGATTTTTAAGAATAATATTAGTTTCACTCTTTCTGATGTAGACACTAGGCACAAAGTGAGAAATGGAGTTCATGCAATAAAAGGCTTCAAGAACTCAAAATATCAAGCAACAGGGAAAGCACCTATGTCTGTAATAAACTAAATAAGGGGCTTAGTAGTAAATAGAGACCAAAAACAAACTGGAAAGAAAGGTCAGTAAAGCTCAGCAACCTAACCCTGGCCTCTCCTTCAAAGAGTGTCTACAGCTACCTAACAATAAAAACAAAACTAATGCTAAATCTTCTTCTCAAAACACTAGTGTTTCTTGATAGCTAAAATGGAGCTAGTAATACAATAGACATAAAAGACGTAAGTTATGTGCCTAGCTCAATAAATGTTGGTTTCTTCCCCTTTCCCAAGGAAGGATTGAGTACATTCGGAATCACGAATTAATAACGTTAAAGTCAGTATAAACAGCACTCCTTACCGAGAGCAAATCCAAGCCATTCTCGTCCAAGTTTTTGACATGGGATGCTAGGCTTCCTGGTTTCCACTTGGGAAATGTATTCTTATAGTCCTGTAAAGATTCCACTTCTGGCCACACTTCATTATTGGGAGTACCCAAAGCTCTAAAAACCACAGCAAAACAAAAAATAATTAAGCATACATATAAAGTCGATGTTATACACAGACTGCATTTATTATTATTCAACTTAAAAAATTTTTAAAGCTTAGGCATAAAACAAAAATACCTGAAAATCCTGAAGAGTTGATCAATTTCTGAATCCCCATGGAAAAGTGGTTTCTTAGTTGCTAATTCTGCAAATATGGTGCCTATACTCCAAATGTCAACTGGAGTCGAATAGCGAGCTGACCCCAGCAATACTTCAGGAGATCTATACCAGAGAGTTACTACCTATCATAAAACACATTTTTACATTGAATAAGTATAGTCCATTAAATTAGCTAAACATTAGATTTCACTTGGATGGTCCTCAGTTAACTATACACAAAATATTAAATTGAAGATAACTATTTCATTTACTAAGTTCTGTTCATTAACGGGAAAAAGCGAGAGGAAAAGAACAGTGAGACGGAGCCTTTTCAAAAAACACCTCATTGATTATGGACTCGGGGTTGACATTATTCTAAGTGCAGGTACTGTTTACATGCTAAAATGATAACCAGAAACTTGAAGTTTACTATTGGTCTATAGAACAAACATAAGAAATATCCTTTGTTTAAACCAATGGGAACCAAATTATCTTTATTTAGATCCACGGGAGAGAAAATAAAAAGGGATAACAGAAAAAAGCCAAGACATCTAACCAGATAAGCAATGTTATGTTGCGATCTGGGGACAGCCTTTGGAAGACATTTTTCTGATAATTTTTTACTGTATCAATCAACATTCCTTTTCCCCTAGAAATACCAAATGAAATGTCAAATCATTAATAACGTTGACAAAACATATGTTGTTGGTAGCTTCTAAATGTGTCTGAGATAGTACCCCTTGAACAACAAAACATGTCTTTTAACCCGTGTTGAGTGTGTATCAGTGAAGATCCAATCAGGAGAAATAAACCACACGGTAATGTGAACAGGAAAATGTTAGTATGAGAAAAACCCCTCCCTCCTGCAATGTTTCTCCAGCACCCCCGTTTACTTACAAAGCCTAACATCACAGCAGCTGACAAAGGAAAATATTTAAAGGGCTCAGTTCCATTTTCACATAATATGCAATGGAGAGTGAACTTAGAACTGAGAGGCAATAAATTGATACTGACACCAGGGAAATCTTTATTATTTCTTTCTTGACTTAACGAACAAATAGAGGAAACAATCCAGTAATCACATACTCAAAAGCACCATAAAAAAACAAGACTTACCTCATGCGTATATACTCTAATAGGTATTCCAAAAGCTCTGGCAAGGCCAAAATCAGCCAGTTTGATTGTTCCTTTGTCATCAATCAATAGATTTTGAGGTTTTAAGTCTCTGTGAAGAACTCTTCTAGAGTGACAAAACACAATGCCTTGTAGGATTTGGTACAAGTAACTCTGGAAAAACAAAATATAAATTAGAAACAATCACACACGATTTCCTAAATAATCTTGGTGGGTTCGTTTTAAAGCCATCAGAAATCATAATACAGGGAAATAATTTAACTTCCAAAAACATTTTCAGGCCATTTGAGACTAACAAGAAGCATCTGGGGATAAGAAAGCCAACTATATATAATATCATGTTTGTATACCTAAGACAAAGATATTCAAGTTATGGACATCTATATCCCACAGAACTTGAAACCATTTAGTCTTCGTTTACTTTTTACTTATTTTTTTATTCTTGTACTTATTTCTTGGCCATGATCCTAAGTCACAAGTTAGTTTTTAGAAAGTTTCTGGAACTTTGTTCTAGATTCGTATACCAACTCCATTTCTCTCTGGAATAAGAAACAAAAAACAACAACAAATCCTAAATTCGCTGCCATCAAGTTAATCCTTACTCATGGTGGTCCAGTGTTACAGAGTAGAAGTGCTCCATAGGGTTTTCTTGGCTGCAATCTTAACAGAAGCAGATTGCCAGGCCTTTCTTCTATGGTACCACTGTGTGGGTTTCAACTGTCAACCTTTACCCCAGCAACCCCAGGGGCCTCTATCTTGAATAAGGTTGGTCTTTTCCACTTCTATCTTTATTTACACATTAATTTCCTCTCTGGAAACACTGGTCAGATTTCAAAAGAAATGGCAAAGAGGACATTAAAATGAATACAATTATCATAAAATGCTGTTAAGCAATTCAGAGATAAATGTTTTACAAGGCCTTTATTGCCAATGTATTTGACATCTGAGGTAACATGATTATTATAGAAATAATGTATACATAGTAACAGTACTGACATAAAATAATACAAAAAACTAACCAATTGGAACAACTGACTAGCTATGTGGAAAACAACAACTAACAAATTTTCCAGTATTGTTAGCTCACGTACTAGTTTTCATTGTATGTGAATAGTAGATGCACTAGCCAGCAATAAAATGGGTAACTGTTAGCAATCTTATCTATAGACTACCTGTATAGGAGAAAAATGAACTATTCTTTGGTTCCTCATTCTACTTTCTAACGTATATTCTCACAAAACACAAAACATATTCAGTAGATCCTTTAAGTTCACAACGGCATAAATACTAATAAAATTAGGTAAACTTCTTACCTTAACAAGTGAAGAATCCATGAACTGACCAGGAGGGATAGAATCCAAGTATTTCTTGAGATCCATGGAAAGGAATTCAAAGATGAGATATAACCTGGAGTCCTGCATAAGCACATCTTGCAGACTGAAGAATATAACCATTATATGAAAAAAATCTAGCAAATATTTAACCTCTCTTCCATAAAATCAAAATACTTCCCTAAACTTACAGTAGCTATCTTATAAAAAGTAGTGCTATAACAAACTTACTATGAAAAATAAACACATCATTTTAGGAAAGCTTCCCTAATAGATAAAGCCCTAGTATAAAACTAGAGAAAGGAATCTCATGGCAGAAACTTAAAATAAAATGTCATTATACAGAAGGTGCCAACCTTTAACCTATACCACGAGAACATTTCTGAGTTGTCTGCTTGTTGCTCAGAGCTTGACTTTCCATTGAAATAAACTATAGAAATAAAATTTAAGGTGATATCTGACCTTAACAGTAGTTGCTCTCCATTCCCACCCACAGCAAAATGCAATTAAATTCTAAGTTGAATTGTTAGGAAGACAACTCCCCCAAAACACCAATCCACATTCTTTGAAGGGAAGGGAAAAAAAAAGTGGGGGGGGGGACCCCAATGAAAAACAAAACTTTTTTTTTCATCTGCCCTAGGTACCTGTCTTAGAACTCAAGGAGTGTTTAGGAAACTAGAGCTTCCAGACTGGGAGAGAGAGAACTGACAAGACTCTATAAAAAGGGCCTCCTTTTCTCCCATTGTCAATTGGCCTTGATTTTCTAGCCCTAAGTACTAATTTATATCAACAACTGCCTCTAACTCTGCTCTTACTTTAACAGTCTATTCTTTTATCCACGCCCATCATTCTCAACTAACAAAAAAACTGTTCAGCAGTTACACTAAAAATTAAGCAAATGTAAAAACCCCCATGTTGAAATTCTTATTTGAAATGGTAAATGGAAAATGTCTTAAATTCAGACATTGGGCCATACCTGACTATATTTGGATGACGAAGTTCTTTTAACAGAGAAATTTCCCGAATTGCAGTACTAGGAACCCCTTCTTCTTCACTTTCTAGTCTGATTTTCTTCATGGCTACAACTTGACCTGTAGTTTTGTGTCTACCCTTATACACAACTCCATAGGTACCTGTAATAGACAAAGTAAATTATCTGCTACATGAATACTCTCCCAAAAAACTAAGAGATTTCTAAAAATTTTTGAATGCCATAGATGTCACATGATAGAAATGTTTGCTGTAGCCAGACGAGAAATATCTACTCATAACTATACCCTAAAGGCTTCCAAAAAAAAAAAAAACTGAGGTTAACTACAACCCGTGACAAGCATAGTTTAGAAATGAAATTCATGTATTCATCACGTTTCCCACATATTTCAATTACCATTAATTTCCCAGTATATTTTAGAGAAATGGATCCTTTGCAAATTGGAATTTATCTCCTATCAGGTATCTTACCCAACAATAAGGTAGGCATAAAATGCAAAGTAAAGATTTGGACTCAGGAAATAACACTAGCATGATACTTTCAGAAAATTCTATGTAGACTGCCTTATGCTTTTCAAAACACTTGTATATGTATCTCAAAATACAGTCAGCTCTCTATCCACAAAAGAATTAATGGAGTAAAAGAAAAAAAAGACTACTTTTTTTTTTATTGTGGTTTAGGTGAAAGTTTACAGCTCAAGTTAATTTCTCATACAAAAATTTATATATTGTTATGTGACACTAGTTGCAATCACTATGTGACAGCACACTCCCCCTTTCCACCCTGTGTCCATTCAACCAGCTCCTGTCCCTTTCTGCCTTCTCATCCTGCCGATGGAGGGGAGCTGCCCATTTAGTCTCACGTACCTACTTGAACTAAGAAGCACACTCTTCACGAGTATTGTTTTATAGTCCAGTCTAATCTTTGTCTGAAGAGTTGGCTTCGGGAATGGTTTTAGTTTTCGGTTAAGAGAGTCTGGGGGCCATGTTTTCTGGGGTTCCTCTAGTCTCAGTCAGACCGTTAAGTCTGGACTTTTTACGACTGACCACATTTTTTGCGAAAAAAACAAACTAATAAAGTTTACGTTTACTACGTAGTAGGAAAGCCTCTCACCCATTAGGAAGTTCATGAGAACGCTAAGTGGCCGGACTCCTGATATATGGACTTCAGACAATGAGCAACAATGTCAATATAAGGGGATCTTATGGTGAGGGTGTGGCTATTGGGAATGGAAGTAGCAATAGTAAGGGAGATGGGTTAGCCGCACTTAATACCCTAGATAATAAAGGCTTCTGACACTGGGGTTGGACAATTTTGGGAGGTCCTGAACCCCTTAACTGTTTGTAAAATGTTGCTGAATAGCCCTTGCTTTCTGCACGTCAGTACGATTTCAAGTGTTACACTGCAATGGGAGAGAGGCTACAGCTCTTATCAGTCTTCAGAGGCAGCTTTATCTCAAGAAAAGCTAAGAACCACTGATAAATTACCTACTGTCTTATTTAGAATATTAAAGACAGTTTGATCATTAGCAAAATATTACATAAGCTTTTTTCTAACATTTTTTAAAAAGGAAAAATTCTACACAATAGTCTATGTCTGCCTTAATACCGGTTTCATCTTATCAGAAGACGTTAGCTGCCGTCGAGTCGGCTCCGACTCACATGGTGACCTTATGTATAACAGAATGAAACACTGCCCGGTCCTATGCCATCTTCATGACTGTTGGTATGTTTGAGTTCAGTGCTGAGGCTATTCTGTCAATCCATCTCATGGAGCATTTCCTCATTTTCAATGACCCTCTACTTAACCAACATGATATCCTTTTCTAGTGATTGGTCTTTCCTGATGATGTGTCCAAAGCAAGCAAGCCCAAGTCTCAGCATCCTCACACTTCTAAGGAGCATTCTGGTTGTATTTCTTCTAAGATTAATTTGTTCATTTTTCTAGCATTCCACAGTATAGTCAATATTCTTCACCAACACTACAATTTGAATGAATCAATTCTTCTTCTGTCTTCCTTTTATCATGTTTATTGATCCAGTTGTGAGAATTTACATTTTCATGTTCAAGCATAATCCATACTGAATCTTCAGGAAGTGCTTCAAGTTGTCTTTATTTCTGGCCAGCAAAGGTGTCATCTGCATATTGCAGGCTGTTAATGAGCATTCCTCCAATCCTGATGCTGTGTTCTTCATATATATAGTATAGCTTCTCAGATTTTGTTCAGCATACGACTTGAATAAGTAAGGTGAAACAGTACAATCCTGCGTGTACCTTTTCCAGTTCTGAATGATGCAGCATCCCCTTGTACTATCAGAAGTATTTTTAATTCAACAACAAAATTAGCTAGTAGAATGGGTATAATAAGTATTGAAGTATTTTTTTTTTTTTTTTGAAAAAAAGGAATCAACAAATAAAATTTGCAAGTTAAAACAGAAAAAGCATTTACCAGGGGACATCTAGATCAATTGGCATAACATAGTTTATAAAGAAAATGTTCTACATGACACTTTGGTAAGTAGCACCTGGGGTCTTAAAAGCTTGTGAGTGGCCATCTATGATAATTCACTGGTCCCACCCCATCTGGAGCAAGGGAGAATGAAGAAAACCAAAGACACAAGGGAAAGATTAGTCCAAAGGACTAATGGACCACAACTACCACAGCCTCCACCAGACTGAGTCCAGCACAACTAGATGGTGCCTGGCTACCACTACCGATTGCTCTGACAGGGATCACAATAGAGGGACCCAGACAGAAATGGAGGAAAATGTAAAACAAAATTCTAACTTGAAAAAAAAGATTAGAGTTACTGGTCTAACAGAGACTGGAGAAACCCTGAGAGTATGGCCCCCAGACACCCTTTTAACTCAGTACTGAAGTCACTCCTGAGGCTCACCCTTCAGCCAAAGATCAGACATGCCCATAAAACAAAACGAGACTAAAAGGGCACACTAGCTCAAGGGCAAGGACGAGAAAGCTGGAGGGTACAGGAAAGCTGGTAATGGGAAACTCAAGGTCAAGGGGGGAGAGTGTTGACATGTCACAGGGTTGGCAACCAATGTCACAAAACAATATGTGCATTAACTATTTGATGAGAAACTAATTTGCTCTGTAAACCTTCATCTAAAGTACAATTTAAAAAAAAAATTTACCTCCAACCTAACCACCAACTTGTCATTGCCATTATCTTACTATCCCTCCTCTTATTTAATATTCCTTGTACATTGAGGTTTTTGAGCACTTTAATAATATAGATGGGAATGTGTCTCAACAGAACTTATATAAGATCTAATAGCAAATTATTTCATAAAAATTTTACCATTTGTTCCTGGAGTTTAGAATGTTAATATCAAAACTCCTATACAGAAACTTACATATCCTGTTGAAGAAAATAAAGGGATGTTTTTACCCTTCACTTATACCATATATACTTAAAACATTCTTTAAAAGCTTTAACAAAAGTACTACAGAGAAAGAACTGACTACATATGAAAGTTAATGGATTCACAACAGCTTAAACATATATATATGACAGGTCACTTAAACCTGTTGTTGTGTGTTGATTCCAACTCAGAGTGACCCTGTGACAGAGTAGGACTGTCCCTGAGAGTATCCTAGTGTGTAATCTGCAAGAAGTCTTTTCTCCTGCAGAGCGGCTGGTGGTTTCTAACTGTTGACCTTATTAACCATTGCACCACCAGGGTTCCTTCATTTAAACCCAGGGCTAAATTTAAAAGTATTCAAATCAGTTTAATATTTAATTACTACACTCCACTTAGAAAGCTTAGGTAAAATTATTTATCATCCTAAACATAACTATGTTGTTGTGTGCTATCGAGTTGATTTAGACTCATAGCAACCCTAATGACAGAACTGACCCATAGGGATTCCTAGTCAGAATCAGATTCGGTTTTTGGTTTAATTTTTATGGGAGCAGATCACTAGGTCTTTTCTCCCGTGAAGCCCTGGGTAGATTCAAACAGCCTCTGACTTTTCTGTTAGCAGCTGAGCACTTCACCATTGAACCACCAGAGCTCGTTAAACATAACTAGAAAAAACAAACGAAACAAACTGTTGCTGTCCAGTTAATTCCAACTCATAGCGGCTCTAAAGAACAGAGTAGAACTGCCCCATAAGGTTTCCAATGAGCGGCTGGTGGACTCGAACTGCCGACCTTTTAGTTAGCAGCCAAGCTCTTAACCACTATGCCACCAGGGTTCCAAACATAACTACAGGAGACTAAAAATCTATATGAAATTAACAAATTATTTCCCTCACCACACACAAGTTATCAATAGTGTTTTCAAAACACAAATATTACTTATAGGACAGAGTAGAACTGCCCCATAGGGTTCCTAAGGAGTGGCTGGTGGATTCCAACCGCCAACCTTTGGGTTAGCAGCTGAATTCTTAGCCACCGCGCCACCAGGGCTCCCAAATATTACTTAAGTATTTAGTATTAGGAGAATACTAATATTTTGGGGAGGGGCCAAATATTTTAGAGTGATTTTAATTCTCTAGAAATAGGAATAATTTTGTGATGTTTGGGTTATTATGTATTATGTAAAGAATGTTTATATTTACTACTATTAGTATTGGAAGATACCGCAGAGGTTGAGTTTTACAAATATTTACATTTCTTTATGTCATGGGCATTGTAGCATCGATAAAATGATTTTAAAACTTTATTACTGAAATCACTCACCTTCCCCAATTTTCTCTATTTTGGTATAGTCTTCCATAGTTGCTCAATATGTGTTGTAGATCCTAAAAATTAGGGGGAAAAAAACTGATTTGATTACATGTCACTAACTCAAAAGGTGGTTTTAAGTCACTATATGTGAAACATTTAGCAGTGTTTAATGCAATTAATAGTAAGTATTCCACAAATGTTATAATATTTACACACTTTATGTATTTTAATATTTACATTAAATACTTACTTAATATTTATATGTCAAATATTTACAAAGATAAGGACACCTGCAATAAGACTTTCCCACCCACTTTAGCGTCTAGGGAGCCCTGGTTGCACAGTGGTTAGAGCCTGGCTACTGACCGGAATCACAGCAGTTTGAATCCCCTAGCCACTCCTTGGAAATCCTATGGGGCAGTTCTACTCTGTCCTACAGGGCTGCTATGACTCAGAATTGACTCGAAGGCAATGGGTTTGGTTCTTTTGGTTAGCATCTAAAACACTGAAAATATTTGTATTCCATACTAGCACTTAGCTTCTTCTTAATCAAATTAACCCTCAAATTAAGACAACTAAACCCATCCTTCACAAATGAAAACCAGGAGTTTTAAGGAGTACCAGTGCGTGCCAGGGTTATACCAATGTATCAGCAAATAATACATTTGACTGAATTTGTACTGCTTCATATTTTTATGAAGATGTTAATTCAAAAGAAAACAATTATAAAAGACATGAGTAGGGAGCTAAAAGACGGTCTGATTGCTCACCCATTAGATTGTTTTGAGCACCGAAAACTAAGTTTTTATAGCTGCTCATGTGGCAGCTTTAAACTTTCTGCTTGGTTTTTAGCAGTTATATACACAAACATGCTTATCTATTACAAGTCTTTCAAGGTACTTTTTCCAAAAGTAGGAAACATCACTGCGCAGCCTAAAAGGAAAGGATGAAAAATACAATCCCGTAGATAAATTTCCAATTATGCGCTACGCATCATCCGAAACTATTGCCCTGAGATAATCCTTAAACCTTAAACTAAAAATATCCCGTGAAGTCTTCTTAAAACTGAACAATAGTTTAGCCTAACTAGTAAAGAATGCCTGCCTCAGCATTGTGCTCTTTTAAGAACTATCTATACGGGATTAAATTAACAACAGGAACTCCAAAGATTAGACAAGGACCTTAGGGGGCAATGAGTTTATGTTAATGGGGGAGAAACAACTCAGAAAAGGAGAGTGAAAACGGTTGCACAGCTCAAAGAATCTAATTAATCTCACTGAATTGTACATGGTGGGACTGTTGAATTGGTGTGTATTTTGCTCTGTGTATTCTCAACCACAAACATTTTACATGGCTGTTAGGTGCCGTCGAGTCGTTTCCGACTCATAGCAACCCTATGAACAACAGAATCAAACACCGCCCAGTCCTGCACCATCCTCACAATGGTTGTTATGCTTGAGCCCATTGTTGTAGCCACTGTGTCAATCCATCTCGTTGAGATGGATTTATATATATTTATGTATAAATAAAAGAATGGTTTTTAAAAAAAAAAAAAAGCTGATTTGCTGCCCAGACACTTAAGACTTCTTCAGCTGGTAAGTTTACCAATGAAACATAACTTCAGAATCCAAAACATAATTACTTTGATTTTCCTAACTCATTCATCACTGATGATAAAAGCATGTAAGGGTCAACAAAGCAGCTGACCTTTAGAAGTTCTATTTCTTGCACCCATCTTCACAGGAGAAAAAAAAAAAAATCACAACAGAAAGTAGTAGCGATAAATCATTCTGAATCAACAAAACTTCACAACACGGGGCATGAGTGCTCATTATAAGAATTTATAATTTTATAAGACGGCAATAGAAAACGTAGGACAATTATTTTTCCTCGATAACCCGATCTGATACGCCTAATGCACAATAAAACTGTTGAGCTCACTTTGAATAAACTTCTAAAAATAACAATTTCAAAGCTGGCTTCAATTACCCTCCTTCGGTTTTCCACTTGTAACAATTTTAAGTAAAACATGCAGCTTTAGAATGCCTCTCCAATGCCTCCCTGAGGCTCAGTACTGTTAGCTGCAGGATGTGGAGTACCTGCTACGGCTTAGTCTTCCTGTCCAGACTTCCAGAGGCCCGTAGAGGAACCAAAACGTGCCGACTAGTAACTTTAACGTTAGATAAAAATTACTTAGAGGACTTGACACGGGTATTAAAAACACACGTTTCAAAAAATACACCCTGCTCAGAAAACCGGTTCCATAACAATTCTCAGAAGATGTTTACTCAGGATAAACTTCAGAATTACTCAAGTCCTCCCTGCAGTCACCAAGAAGGGTCTCGTGTTTTGAGGCCAGGTGTAGCCAATTTAATTACTATGTAACTTTTAAAAAACAATTTTAGAAACGTATGTAATCTATCAATCAGATGTACCCTCACCCAATTTTGTCACCATTACCTAAATGTCAACCAATCACTGCATTTTTACTTAAGTCCCTAGTAGTATAAAAACTCCCGGAAACGTCTCCTCCTCGGATTCCTTATTTCAGAATCCACTGGACCCCGGGATTCCCAGTTCGCAAACTGCCTTGCTCTCAATAAAAACTCTTTACTTTTAATTAAAAATAAAAACGCATTTCTTAGCCTCCCATTTTTTGCCAATCCCATAGTATATTAACAACTACGAGTATAAAATAAATTCTAAAAAGTTCCCTCTGGCTCTGTTGTCTTGGAACCTCTGGGTGGGCAAGGGCTGTGGAATGAGGCAAGTTCGAGAGGCTAAACAAGTTCATCGGGTCAGTTTTTCTGGACCGACGCGTTTAGGGCCTGGCGTGGATACCTGGCCCACCCAGAAGCCCGAGCAGAGCGTGCGCAGAAGGCAGGCCCCAGCCGCTGGGCCTACGACCGAGCCCGGCACTCCGCAGGAGCTCTGCGTCGTCGAACAAATGCACTAACTTTGCTTCAATTCTGCTCGCACTATAACCAGAAAGCTTACTCAACCAGATAGGCAGCCTCTTCCTAAAAACAGCCGACCCCGGCCCCACACTGGAATTCCGAAGCCAGGGCAGCCCCAACCCTCCCCGAAGTAAGCCACTCAGGACTGGGGGTCCCCTAGACTCCCCCTAAGTCGGGCCCCGGCGTCACTTACACGCTGAGGCCCCGGGTCCCGCGCTCCAGGCCCTGCCCACCCTCCCGAGGCCAGGCCTGGGCCACGCAGACACAGCCCGGGCTCCCAAACATCACCTCATTCCTCAATACTCCCCCTCCCGAAGCCCCGAACCAGGCCCTGCCAAGTCGACGCCCCATCGGCATGGCCCTGACCCCTGCAACTCTACCCAGCTTATTATCCCGTGGTAGTGACGGCGGCAGCGGCTACCACGTCCGCTCGCTCCCTCCTCAACTTCCACGAGCCAGGTTTGAAGCTAAGTGAACGCAGTTTCAAAGTCACCGCGCTAAAGGGTGTCGGATTCACCAATCAGGTAGCCCGTAGACTTTCAAAGGAGCCAATCAGAGCTCAGTTACGCTTGCGCTAGCTTTCCCGGGTGGCTGGAGCGCGAAAGAGACAGGAAACGGCGGCTGGAGAAGAAACAGGAGGGCGGGCGCCAACTGAATCTGCACGCAAGCGCTCTCTTTAATTCCAGGGGAGCGTCGTCCTACTGTTTCTAGTCCTCGGGAATCTACTGTTTTCTATGGGGTTTCTCTTTCTTTCTGTATCGGTACAATTTTTATCGCACTCAGATACCTTATCACAAAAATGAAACTACACTTACATCAAGATTCAAGTCCTTCCGATTCTAATACTTAAGGCTAATGTATATTTATGTTTTTCTGTGTGGCTTGCAGGCTAGGCCTATTTCTCCAAAGGAGCACATTTTCAGTTGCCTTAAAAAATAATGAAAACTAGAAGATGTCCTCCGTGATCTAAAGAAATTACCTTAGTGTGTTAGATATACTTCTTCAAAAATTTTAAAATGTTTTCATATCAGAATTTTAAATATATTTTACCAGCACAAAAATCAACAGTTCTACGAAGGGAGAAAAAGACATCTAAATTATACTTTAAATAATCCAGTGTCAAAAACCCTTTCATTTCATTGCTCTCCGCCATGTCCTTGAGATGTCTGCACTTGAACATCATTCGCAGGCCTTTGTTGCTATATGCCATCGAGTCTGTTCCTACAGGGTCGCTATGAGTAGAACTGTCCCATAGGGTCCTCTTAGACCTTTAAGGAAATAAAACAGTATATAGAACTGGAGGTAATAAGAATCTTCTGGTAAGGATTTCTCTTTGCACTGATACTAACTAGACATAAAGAGTGACTAGGACAACTTCCCGGAGCCCTGGTGGCGCAGTGGTTACGCGTTCAGCTGCTAACCAAAACATGGGCAGTTTGAATCCACCAGCTGCTCCTTGGAAACCCTGTGGGGCAGTCCCGGTCCTATAGGGTCGGTATGAGTCGCAATCGACTGGACGGCAACAAGTTTGAGTCTTCTGGACCACAACCTCTACAAATGTGTATTAAAAGGCTCTGATTAGGATAAAGAACGGAACTAGTATATCGCATGCGTTACATTTAATGCCTTCTCACACAACGAGGAGAAGGAGTAGCGTCTGTCATCTGGCCCTATATGTGGCACTAACTCAGCCTTGACAATGTTATACTCCCAGGCCACAGAGGCAGAGCATTTGGGGTTTACAGTGAAAACAGGAGTTTGTAAACTTCCCGACTGAGCCTAACAACTTTTAAAACTTACTGTTTTAAACCCAAAATTCACTTTTTAACTGGAAACTGACCTCCCAGAGAAGCGCTCTAGGGAGGTGGGCTGTTCTCTGCTAGTTTAGGTTACTGATTTTGATAAATGAATATATGCCTTTTTCTTTGGGAGGCTTAAGCAGGAAATTCAATTTATAATCTAAAAACAGCAAGTAATCCATTATATTCATTTTACATTAAGCATAAAGAATACCACAAGCTTCTACAGCTGTGAGGCTAAGTTATTCAATTTAACTCAATTATCTTTCTTTTTAAAGTTTCAGGGGTTACTGTAAATTCATGCTATCATCTTTACAAATACAGTTATTGCACTTTCTACTAACTTGTAGTCAATGTCTCTCAAGTGCAACACTGCTTTATAGACACAAAAATGAATAAGATACAATGCCTACTCTTAGTGTGTTGAGGGGGGAGCACAATGATTATTTAGAATTCTCTTCTGCCATTTACTGTTGTAACTTGTGCTATAAGGTGATATGAGAACACAGCGGAAGAAATTGCTCATTCTGATAGAGGAAACGACATTTGAACAAATACATGAGAAACAAATGTGCATTCTAAGCAGAGGAAATTGCATGAGCAAAGCATAGAGGCCTGAAAGTCAGCCCACGTAATCCGGCAGGCTTCCAGCTAGGGTGCAGGGGATCCAGTGTGCAGGGAAGGGAGTTTGGAGCCTTCAAGAGTTTTGAATGCAGTTCTAAGGGGTCTGGACAGTAGAGGCATACGGTTAGAACTGTATTTTAGGATAATGATTCTAAAGGAGGTATGAAAGACCTAAAAAGGAAAGGTATAAAAACGCATGTGCTCCAGAAAGGCTCATATTTATAATCAGTAAACTCTGCCACAGAAGGAAAAGAAAAGATCAGTTGGCACTGCACATAAGTCTTTTTTTTTCAGATATAAATATTTTTTAGACAAAAATAAATAAGAAACATTTGCTTGTCAATGCATAAAATACTCTGAAATGAAACACAAGAAACTGATTAACAATGTGTCTCTGTGGAGAAAAGTGATGAGGAAGGGAGACTTTTGTATCTTAATTTTGAACCCTGTGAGTGTATTACCTAGTCCAAAAAAGAATGAATGAATCTTGCTTCTTTTGCTACTGGGTAAAATTCACAGGAATATATTTATCCAATAGAAAAAAACTAGAGTGGGTTGAATAGTGCCCCCTCAAAATTCATGTCCACTCAGAACCTCAGACTGTGACCCTATTTGGAAAGAGGGTATTACAGATGTAATTAGTTAAGGATCTCGATGAGAAATGATCCTGGATTTGAGGTGGGCCCTAAATCCAATTAACCTGTTGCTGTGGAGTCGATTCCGACTCATGGTGACCACATGTGTTTCAGATTAAAACTGCTTCATAGGGCTTTCTTGGCTGTAATCTTTACGGAAGCAGATCACCAGACCTTTCTTCCTGCAGCCACTGGATGGGTTCATACCACCAACCTTTAAGCTGGGTTCATACCACCAACCTTTAAGTTAGCAGTCAGGCACAAACTGTTTGTGCCACACAGGGATCTTGACTGATGTCCTTGTAAGAAGAGGAGTGAACACAGAGACATCCACAGAGAAGGCCATGTGAAGACAGAGGTAGGCAGAGATTGGGGTTATGCTACCGTAAGTGAAGGAACACCTGGAACCACCAGAAGCTATAAGAGGCAAGAAAGGATTTTCCTCTAGACCCTTCAGAGGAAGTGTGGCCCTGCCAATACCTTGATATACTTCTGTCCTTCTGAATTGTGAGAGAATAAATTTCTGTTTTAAGCCACCCAGATTGTGGTTATTTGTTATGGCAGCCGTAGGAAACTAATACAAAGACTGATCATTCTTTAGGTTAATCCTTTCGGTTTAATTCATAAATTAAAGTTGTGGGAAAAGCAAGGCATAGTTTCAAGATCTTTTAATCATGACTGAAAACACTGAACTACCATGGCTGTTCCTAATTTAGAGATTTTTTTCTAAATACAAAAATAAGTGGGTTTTTTTTCTAAACAGGGTCACATTCACAGGTACAGGGGCTAGGGCTTCAATATCTATTTTCCCTATTGCCATCGAGTCGATTCTGACTCATAACGACCCTATAGGACAGAGTAGAACTGCCCCGTAGGGTTTTCAAGGAGCGGCTGGTGGATTCAAACTGCCAACCTTTAGTTAGCAGCCATACCTCTTACCTCTACTAGGTGATAAAATGGAGCTGGGGGTGTGTGTGTGT